TGGTTTATCTTGCCTTTGAAGTATTCTAACTTAAGCTTCGGAGCCTTTACGCCGGGTTCTCCCCGGAGCTTCTCTTCTCCTTCCGTTTCAGGTCCCTGTTACTCAGTTCAGAGGCAAAATCATTGACAGCTAAGACCGGCCAGATTGTGCTTCATCAAGAGTCATTATAATTAAACAACAACAATCATTTATCCTTGATTGTCTTTTCATGCTCATGCTAGGGTATAAATAGAAGGAAAAGGCGATCAAGATTCATGTAGTCGACCCCTCATAGTTGGGATAAAGCTTAGATGATGGTGGTGGTGGTGGTTTACTCTCATTTATAATATATCATGAAAGTAGTGTTCAGAACGCTACTGGGGGTGTTCATTGTATGGTCCAGACCACCAAACCAGATTGAACCAAACGGTGGTTTGATCTGGTCTACTCTTCAAAGAGGTATGTATAGTCTAGTTGAGGAAATTTTAAAATTTCAGTTTATGTTGGGTCTGATTTTCTAAATTTCAAAAACTAGAGCAGAATGTAAACTGAATTATTAATAATATATAACATAAGTATTTATTAATAATATATCACTCATTCCTTAACTCTCAGTGTTGACAGTCACTTACAGCGGATCTTGTCTAATTGGCTGGAAAGCTGGTTCAAGCAAGATACTGCTCTTGATCCTTGTCATCAGTTTTTGTTCTCTGCTCCATTTTATGGCATATTTGGAAGGTTGTTATTGAGAAGAAGCCTTTTCAGCCCCTTTCTGTGGTCTCTGCTCTCAAGCTCAAATGAACGAAATTGAGCAGCATATATGACTACAACAGAGGCGCATACTGTCAGCAACATCGGATCATGGTCTAAGCCTCCACCTCCACTGGTGAGTCAATTTTGATGGAGCCCTATCTGTGTCCTCTGGAGGTGTAGGCATTATAATTGGAATTGAAGATCACAATATAATGGTTGTTTCTGTTTGGAAGTCCTGCGCTCATAGAGGCTAGAACAGCATTTGAAGGTCTAGATCTCCGATTAGCGAGGGCTGTCGGTGCAACTTCTATAATCCTTGAGGGAGACTCACCAAACTGTCATCAATTAATTGTCTGTTGGAGAACACTATAGACCCTCCTTGGCAACTCAGTAACTTTGATTTATCATCCATCAATTTCCCTCACTGCTCAGTTCAATGGATATCTATTTTCACTGTCCACACATGTTGCCAATGGTATTCTCAAAAATAATAAATAAACCTCTTTCTTCAAAACAAACCAAACAGGACAACACCCCTTTCCCTAATTACATCTAACATTTGCAATCCCTTTCTACTGGTTTAGGGGGGCTGGGGGGACCAACATATCCTTTTCATTTGCACCAATCTTTGTGAAAAGATTTTTTTTTCCCATGCATCGAGATATTTCTAACAGTCAATGATAATGGGACTGGCTTTTTTTTTCTATTTTAACCCAAAAATTTCATCCACTCGACCACTAAACTAATCTATGGTCATAGAAGAAACACCATAGTTTCTTCACTATTAATTGGATCCTTCATCTACCATTCCAAATATAATAACCAAACAGCCAAGAGAGTTTCTGATGGTTGGTTTCCATGTGAGAAACTACCCTGCACGGAAGTACAAACAGTAGAGGGAGAGTGAGAGACAAAGAGAAGAAACTTAATTGAGATGAGAAGCAATTCGGCAGAACGTGAAAAACCAGGAAATGAAGGAATAATAGATCATCATCATGCCATTCAGATTTGTGAGGTGAACAAGGATAAGGAGGTATTAACTTCCATGCAACAAAAGCTCTCACAACCACCTCGGCTTCTGAAAAGTTCAGCCGGCAGCAGGTCCTGTTGCATCTTTAGAGTCCCGCAGAGTCTCATCGACATCAATGGCAAGGCCTATCAACCTCTTATCGTCTCAATCGGCCCTTACCACCACGGCAAAAGCCATCTCAGGATGATCGAAGAGCACAAATGGCGCTATCTGGGCTCGCTGCTTTCTCGAACAAATAGTAAGGGCTTAGGCCTAGAAAACTATCTGAGGGCAGTGAAGCCATTAGAGCAGAGGGCGAGGGAGTGTTATTCAGAGACTGTCAGCCTTGACAGAGATGAGTTTGTTGAAATGATGGTGCTGGATGGAGTCTTCATCATCGAGCTCTTTCGAATAGTTGGGAAGTCGGTGCAACCCTCCCCCAATGACCCTCTCTTCGCCATGTCATGGGTGTTTCCCTTCCTCCTCAGAGACCTACTCAGGCTTGAGAACCAGCTGCCCTTCTTTGTTCTGCAAACCCTATTTGATCTATCAAAAATGCCAGAACCAGAAGAACCAGCAGACTCCTCCCTTGTCACACTTGCCTTGTTGTTCTTCGACAACGCCTTCGAATTCCTTGACTCTGCAGGGCCAGGACGTGATGAAGTCATCAAGAAGTTCAATCAGATCCAGGGAAAACATCTACTTGATTTGTTCCGTTCGAGCTTCATCCCAGCAACCACTCAGGAAAAACCCAGAAGGGGCCCCTCAAAAACCCAAGTGATTCAGTGCGTAACAAGGCTCCGCCGGGCAGGAATCCGGTTCAAGTCGTCGGAGGCCGACAGCTTCCTGGATTTAAAATTCACGAACGGGGTGCTGACGATGCCGAAGATAACCGTCGATGATTTCATGAGCTCGTTCATCGTCAACTGCATCGCTTATGAGCAGTGCTGCAAGCACTGTAGCAAACACATCACCACCTACGCTACTCTGATGGACTGCCTGATCAACACCACCAAGGACGTTGGGTATCTCTGTGATTATAATGTCATCGAGAATTACTTCGGAACAGATGCAGAGCTTGCCTGTTTCTTCAATGATTTAGGGAAAGATGTGTCGTTCGACATTCAAAATTGCTATCTCACCCAACTGTTCGACGATGTGAACAGCTACTACTACAACAATTGGCATGTGCGGTGGGCAAGCTTCAAGTACACCTATTTTGACACTCCATGGTCTTTCATCTCGGCGGTGGCTGCGGTTGTGCTGCTCCTCCTAACCACGGCACAGACCTTCTACACCGTTTACCCTTATTTCCGCCCTCCTAAGGAGTGAGACAATGGACAGAGAAATAGGTAATATGTACAAACTACAAAGTTGTATTCGGGTTCCATTGAAGGTTTTGAGAGCATTGCAGATTGCATTATACAGAGATATCATATAGTTCAATTTTTGTATTGATATTAGTTTGGGATTTTCGGGCAATGTTTTCTTAGTATACAGAGATTTCATGGTCGATTGAGTTAAACCCACATATTCAGACGATTTTTCACAGCTTTATGATGTAGTTGGGGTAAGGGTGTAGGCTTGTAGGGGTGGCAATTACTGACCCAACCCAACCCAACCCATCCATTTACTACGGGTTGAGTTTGGATTTTCCCACCATGGTTTTGGTGGGCATGGGTACACTCACTCATTTAATAGATTGGGTGGGTCGGGGTTGTGATTTCTCAATTGGGTGGACTCATTAAAAGTGAGCCATGCATTTTTATTTGATACTAAATATATTTTTATAATGAACATTCAAAAATATAAAGAGCAGCATATTATATACTAGAAAAATTGAAGTATGAACACTAGAAACAGAATATATCAAGCTTACCATGGTCCATTAGGCCTCTCAAGCTAAATGAACTTTACAAATGGGCCCAGTCCATAGTTCAAACAGGAAGTTCCCTATTTGATTGGGCCCAGTCTATTCGGTATTGATTATCTACTACTTTATCCTCCATATGAGGGTACGCCCCTTTTTGGCTTGGCCCAGTCTAGTCTATGGGGATACCTGTAACTTGTACCTTATTTTATAAATTTTGATAGTTAATAACCATTGTGCAGGTATTGGGCTCTTCCATGAATGAACTGCAATGTTTAAAATGGGTTGGAATGGATTAATATCAGGATCTTGGTCCATGAAATGCTTTATGCTTTGGAAGGCTCTCTGTTTGTGACTTTGTGCTAAATTAGATGGAGACAGGTAGGTGACCAAGTAAGGAGGTAACACTAATGCATTAAACAAGGTAGGTGAGAAAACCATCAAACAGGCTCTGTATGTGACTCTGTGCTAAATTAGATGGAGACAGGTAGGTGACCAAGCAAGGAGGTAAACTGATGCATTCAACAAGGTAGATGAGGATCCATCCCTTGCCATTCATTTTTTACATTGGGTATTTTGTAGGATGGCAATTTTATGGGAATTTTAGGGCATTCGATCCGTTTTGACCCTAATAGAATCTGTTTATCAAATTCTTATAGGGTTTGGGATGAGTTTGAGTTTTGACCTTAGAATCCTGCTTATCAAACCCAATTATATTTAATACAGGTTGAAAGAGGATTCAAACCTTTGCCTTGTTTCCCATTATAGCCATCTTTAACATTGGCTTCTCACACCATTTTGTTTTTACTTAAGAGGGTCATCGCATTTTCCTTTTGTGATGTAAAATCAGATGCAAAGTCAAAGTATTAGAAAATGTAAAGAATATTTAAGAGACAATTTAAAGTAATGTAACTAGATTTTAGATACACTTTGGATATATATAGGTATGGTGGGAAAATTAAGATACACATGGATAGGGGTGTCAATGGATCGATTTTGGATTGGCTCCATCCAAATCAAAATCAATTTGGACGGACTAATAAGACATATTCAATTGGACATGTCCAAACTTAATGATCCAAAGTATTTATTGGATGGATTGGACCTGATGATGGATTTTTATTGGATTGGATCAGATTGAACTGATATCTGGTTCATTGACAGAAGATAAGAATACTAGTGTCAATAGACCAGGTCTGGATTGAAACAAATCTAAACTAAAACCAATTTGAGTAGATTGGATGGTCTAGAAATTAGAATTGGACCAGTCCAAAATGGTATAAAGTATTCACAGATTGGATTGGATCTGATCCATTTGTAATGGATTCATATTGGACCGGATTGGATTGGATCAAATCTGGTCCAATTGACACCCCTACACATGGATGCACCATGGAAATTCAAATATACATTAAATATATATGAATTATATTTAATCTATAGGTTTAATAACTCCATAGATAAGAAACATGTATTTTAATAGTTTATGACTTTATGTAAAGTATAATTTCATCATAAAATTGGAAAATGTAAAGCATTGGAATATCCCAGGGAAGCATTGGCATATTGTAAATATCATTAATTATCAAGTAAAAGGTTACAATACTTAAAATAAATTTTATAAATAATGGCGAAATGTCATAGTACGAAAATTACATTCTCTTATGAAATTAGTCATCCAAGAAATATCTCTTAAATAATTGAAATTATAGAGGCAAAAAGCATCCATGGCTCGAGGCCTTGGTATTTGCTAAACAATAACCTAACCCTACACTCAATTTGGGTTAAAACAAACATTGAAACAAATCATAAACTTTAAGATTAAGGGTTAGAACTTAGAAGTCGAACCAAATTATAAAATACCCTTTATGGGGTATTATGACCCAATGGGCCAGGTCATCCAAACCTATACCCGATTTGGGTTAAATAATCAAAACTTTAAACTAAGTTCCTAACCCTACACCCTAATAAGCCTGACCATAGCATGTTCATGTATGGGTGAGTCAAGTCAAATTTACCATTTAACTTGACTAATTTTCATCCCCATATGAGATTAGCCACTCTCACTAGGGTGTCAATTTGGATTGCGGTCAGAACAATTAATTGAACATAACTCAAAAAAATAACACTTGATTTGGCATGGATTGACATGGCTCAGTTAGAAATGTGATAAGGCTCTTTCTACTTTAATTTTGCATAACAAAGCCCATTGCACAAATCCCGACTAGTAAATTTAATAAATAACTGTGATATGTCATAGCACAAAAATTACATTCTCTTATGAAATTAGTCATCACAGAAATATTTCTTAAATGGATAATTGACATAACCGCCCCCAGGTGCAAGCGGGATTCAATTCCAAGTCTTGGCTACAACAAGCAGGGGACCTTACCAACCATCTAGTTAGCACCTTGCTACTTTTGCCTACTTTTAACACATATGCTAACTAAAAATGTGTATATTCAAAAAAAAAAACAATTGCAAGTTGAAAGATTTGAACCCTGGTCATTTATATAAAATGACACTTAACTATCTAACCACCACTTATAAGTTGATTTTAATTTACAAAATCTATTATATATGTTTTTTATGACCATTTAACCCGTGACCCAATAAGCCTTCTGATTTTATGTCTAGTCCAAGCTTTAAAACACGGTAAGCAATTTGGGTTCAAATCTTTCTGAAAACATATTAGTTTTATATTGGATTTAAATAATTAATTGAGTTAATTATAAGATAGAGAAAATTAAAGGAATTAAGGTGGTGTTTGATAAATCTGAAATCTGAAAAGTTAAAAATGTATTATTTGTGTCTAAAATCTAAAAAGTTAAAAATGTATTATTTTTGTCTAAAATCTGAAAAGAAGCATAGGTGCTTTTCTACATTTTAGAGGCTCTGAATCCATAAGTTTGTTTGTGTTGGATCAACCCTTGACCATCTAAAATTCACTGAATTTACTATTTTACCCCAAGAACATACTATTTAAAAATGTTGAATTCAATTCGCATTATCTCATAAAAAATAATTTGCAACTTCAAAATAATATTGAAACAATACAAATAAAAATAATAAATTAATAATTGAAAATTACTAATTAATAAATGAAATGATTAAAATTTAAAAAAATAATGACTATAAAAATATTAAAATAATTAATAATTAATAACTAACACAAGTAAAATTAATAAAAAATATTAAAATAATTTATAATTAATAATAATAATAATTATTATTATTATTAATTATTATATTATATTATTAATACTCACCCTCTTAAGAGAGAGAGAGAGAGAGAGAGAATCGTCGCTGCTGAGAGTTGTAGTAGTGGTGGCTGGAAGATGAGAGAAAGAGATATTGAATAGGATAGGGGTATTTTTTTACTTTAGGCCACATCTTAAACGCGTTTGAGCGCATTAAGTGATAGTCATGAGTCTTAAAATTTTAGATCAAAAAAAAAAACTTTTCAGATCATATTTCAGATGCAACACCAAATAAGCATTGCATCTGAAAAGCAAAAGTTTCAGACTTCAGACGTTTGAAAAGTGTTATTAAACGCCACCTAAATTAACTAATTAATCTTATAAGCAGTGTGCTAAATAAGGTTAATTATGGAGTCAATTATAGTAAATGGAGTGTTAAATAGAGTTAGTGAGTTTAATGAGCAGATGGGTTTGAGAAATTAGGAGGAAAAATTGAACAGTTTTAGAAAATTAATGGTCTAGGCCATCCGACCAATTTGGTTTTTAACACATCCCTATGGTAATAAAAAAAAATCACCATAAATGTTGATGTCTTTGTACTTGTTTATACCTCAACATGATAGAATTTGCCACACCAACCCCGTAACACATAGCAAGTGTGCACATGATCTAACACCCTTACATCTCATCGTGAGATACGATATCAAATCATGAATAAAATATACGATGAATAAGATATACGATATCAAATCATGTTGAGAGAGTGTTGAAATGTATTTTATTGGTAGACGACCCAGACTTTGCCCCAACATGGTTGATTGAACTTTTTTTTTTTTTGGCTCCAGGAGACTACACAACAGGCCAGGGGTAGCCCATCCCCCCACCCCCAACCTTGGTGTAAGTAGGATTTGATCCCGACATAGTTGATTGAGTTAAACCCACATATTCAGACCCAACACCATTTACTATGGGTTGAGTTTGGTTTTTCCACAATGGGTTTTGTGGTTTGTGGGCATGGGTACACTCATTTAATAGATTGGGCGGGTTGGGTTGTGGCTTCTCAATGGCTTATTTTACTTTTATGTATTTACTTTTTATTTATTTAATTTAATAATAATTCAAGGAATTATCATCCAACTTCTCCACTAGATATATAGGAATTTGAGAATTGAGGATTGATGAGCACAAATTAAGTTTATTTGTTGTGTTGCTTGCACTCCTGTTGTTCAAGTGTGGGAAAGAAGAAATGAGAGGTTAAGAACTAGTGATTTAGAGACAATGAAGAGGGCAAAATGGTCTAAAATGTTATGCAAAGATTCGCCATCATCATCCATGCTTTATCCCAATTATATGGGGTCAATTACATTAATCCAATCATGTTTCGCCAATCTATTTTATTTAAAGTCATATGTAACCCTTGCTAACTTAACAGTATTCAAAGCCATCTGATCAGAATGATGATGGTGGTGGTGGTGGTGATAAAATGATCTCAAAATAGCTAAAAAAACAAAATTTTTTGGCCCTTCTAACCTAAATCAGCCTTGATTAAATGATTATAAGGCAATAACTACCTCCAAAATCCTAATGACATAAATAAATTAAACTCAGCAACAAACTCGCAATGTGGAGTGCTATCTGTCTTTAAAGTCTGCTGCCTTTTTAGATTGGATTCAATACAAAGCCAATCTGATTAAATTTGATTTAGATATCCGTTTATTGGGTTTGGATTGGATTGGATACATATCAATTTGGATCCGTTAATTTGATCCATTTCTAACATTTACTTTTATTAACTAGAAAGCAAACCAGACTCTTAATTCCTTTCAAGTTGCAGAGCAGAGGTCCTTGGTGGCAAACATATGTGGATCACAGAACTCATCAGTTTTGTTAAACCGACTAAATTGGATTCCCCATGTTGGATTTGGATTCAAGATTAACTGTATTGGATTGGATTTGTCCTTATTGGATTCAGATTGTAATACATTGAAATCCAGTCCATTGCCAGCTTTACTTCAAATACTTTCGCATTAGGATGCTCCCCCTTTAGAGGTGTAACTCTGATTGGCCCGAATTAGCATTTTGCACTTTTTCAAGCTCGGTCCATCTGTCTGGGTCCATTCAAATTTTAACAAAAATCCAATCCAAATCTATCCAAATTGCACCCCTATTTTTATATAAAAATGGTGAAGTACACAAATCAGTAAATTGGAAGGCTGTTTAGAAAATGAATTTACAAGGCCTTATCTTTAAAGATGAAGACTGATAAGTATCTTAATCTATTGGGCTGTTAGAAATAAATTAAAAAGTTATTTAAATCATAAAATATCAAAGTTTTCATTTAAAATTTTATGATTTTGGCTATTTACGGTGTTTTGAGAGCTCGTTTTTTATTTTTTTTTTCTACTTCTAATTACCAAATTGAAAAGGATAAATTGCTAAAACCTCCCCTAAAATTTAATAATTGCAATCACTTCCCCTGAGTTTTATGATACAGTTGCCCGTAGACCCCCTTTGGTAGTCTTCTAAAAAAATGTATAAAAATATCCAAAATACCCATCTAGTTACTATTGAAGTCGTTTTCTATATATATAAAAAAAAAAAACAATATAAACTTTATGAACAACAAAAACAAAGAGAATTTAAAGTTATAACTTTACCTTTGAGTGGTTGATATGAAAAGAAAATTT